CTGTGTTTCAGTGAGACGACTTTCAGAAATTTCTCCGACCCTCTCTTTTTTTGTCTTTCAATATTTGTCTCTGACATGATCAAATTTATGCTCACATATTTATTTGGTTTCGTTTTCTAACATGTTGAATGACTATGCTATCAATTATTTATTGAATTACCTGTACGTAATGCCATTCAATCTTGATTATGATAACTGTTAACTGTGACATCCATTCTACTCTGCCTTATTACTTTTCAGCATTTAAGTACACATCGATCTTGACTGAGTCTATTTATAAAATCTGTATTATTACGATTTCGTTGAAATCATGAACTGGTGAATGTTAGACTACTACTGGAAACCTAGAAGCTCTGGACGGCTATTTCGTCCTAGTTTGAGATTCTTCAGTAGTGAGTATACGAGACCTCCGAACACGGGAGTAGGACCGATGACCATTAGGCTAGCGTGCAAACGCCTAACCTTTTATTCAGTGAGTCAGCATCCAGCAATGTTAGTATCCAATTGAAATCAACCTATTGAAAACCACTACGGAAACAAATTCTATATGCGCGTTGTTGTTACATTCTTTAGTTGTGTAGGTTAAACTGTGAAGTTATCGTTCTATCATTCTGAATGAAAATACCACTGCGTTATGAGTGGTGACCGACGTTGTGTTAGCCTAGTTCATAGCACTTATTGAATTCTACTAGTTTTAATGATTTTACATGGTTGTGAACTAAGCTTTGATGCAGAAAATCCTACGCTTGGGTTCTGTGCTGGTGATTCTAGTTCACACCAACCATCAATATTTATACATTCCATTTCAAATAACATTTTTCTGCATATAAAAACAAATTACCTCGTCTATTATTGTCATTTGTAAATGGGACCCCAGAAGTGTTTTTATTTTCATTTAATTTATATAAACCACTACGTGTAGCATGTTTTGGTACATTCTGTTTTTCATCATAAGACATAGCTGGATTCATATGAGACCATTCATTCTTTTCATCAGTAGGTGCATTCAATGCTTCAACAACTGTAGTTCGATCTATTGACGAGAATAAAACATAATTTGAATAAGAAAAAATATAGTCTCAGGCAAGCAGTTCATAGACACTGAGCTGATTGTTATTAATGAAAAGGATTGTAGCTAAGGAGATTAGTTTACAAAAGGTCAACTACTTGATTCTCAATGTACCCTTTTAGTTGTGGCAATGAGTGACGAAGTTCCCAATCTCACATTGTAAACATCAATTCATCCAGTTTGGAAAGATGTCAGTCATTTTAGTTAACAAACTGAGAATGGAAATGTTATAAAAGATTTAAGTTGTACAAATGTCAGGAGGAAATCTCACAAGTTATTAATTTTTTTCTAAATGGGATATTTAAACAACACAGTAGCGATAAAACTTAGAATTATTAACGTGTTATCAAGAATAATTATGAAAGCAGGAATTAATCGTTTTAACTGACATATAAGGTCAAAAGATAGATAGATAGACAGACAGATAGGTAGGTAGACAGATAGTAAGTGAAAGTGGTTTTACAAGAGTTGAAATATTTACTTATCTAAGTTTTGTTTATAAACATAATTCTGAACTTTTGATGTGTACACAAAGAGGCTATAGCGATGCATTGATGCAACTTATCGATCAATTATAGTTTTGCGTATTCAAAACTTTAAAGCATAACTTATAACCATACAAAGTTATTAGACCTGAAACACTGTATCACTACCAGTGAAGGTTTGGATTATTAGGTGGTTAAAATTCAGTCAATCTTTGTTGGTCGATGTTCATTAAACATATTATTGGCTATCGGAAGTCAGTAACTCAGTGATTAAAGTCTTATTATTGTTTTCTCGGGTTCAGAAACCTTATGAATGGTACAGAGAAAGGGAAGTCGTACTACATATGGGGAAATTCTGTTCACCTTACAGATTATATGTTTGTTACGATCAAAAGACCAGTGTCAGCAAAGTATGCAATTATTCTATTACCTCTGGATCAGTTTCTGTGTACTGCTTTTCAACTGTAGAAATTAAAATTAATTAATAGATTGTTCAAGTGAAATATCCATTCTACTTACCTACTAACTTAAGCCTGTTACCCCCAACGAAGTATAGGCCGCCCACCTATAAAAAGAAGAGGCGTCGGCCCCGTGACTTCCGAGGGAACTCGGCTTTCATCACGCGACGTCATAATTCTTCTGACAACTCCCAGGGCAGAGTTAAAATGGTTTGAATTATTTTTTCTGGTTAGCGTTTTTTTGGCAAGTTAGATTTCGACGGAATGGGGTTGCCAACCCCATGTCCAACCCTCCTCCTTTATCCGGGCTTGGGACCGGCAGTAGCCCCTAAGGTTCTACTGGCGAAGTTAAATAATACTCATTCTAGAATCAATCTATTTCATAAAGTAACGTTAACATCTTTTGCATTGTTGTTCATTAATCCTTATTTTTTTTTATAAAATTTTAGGTATTTACATTCGAAACAGTTTTAATGCAATTGACAATACAATTAATCTTTTCACTAAAATTATTAGCTATCTGTTTCTCGTGTTTCAATACTACGAATTGATTTCAATTATTGGTCCAGCGAAGCTTTATCCAGTATTGAATAAAATCAATTTAAGTGTTTAATATGGATGACATGTGGTGTTTTAATTATTTTTAAGTTGGATAACATACAATATACCCTCAGGCTAGACGTCAAAGACTATCAAAGAATGAATGATATATATATAAATATCATTGGTCAATAGTTTTTGGATAAGTTTTAAATAAACTAACAATGTACCGTCAATAATCAGTTGTATCTTGTTTGATATCTGACTTAGTTGAGTAAGATAACAAATCTTTTTACCTTCAACAACACAATCGTTTATTTACCGTTTATGTCAATAGTTATTTCAAAAATAAACATAGTTATTTTAATTCCCGAGTTACAACGCTATTGATGATGATGTAGAGGTGTCGTTTTAATCTAGATGGTTTAAAGGGACTACGGAGAAAATGTTCTCTAAGTAGGTCGTATGTATTCGCAATCTTCAATAAACTAACGATATTTCTAGGACTCTTATCTACATCACAGCTAGAGTTTTTGATAATTGACTTTTGAATAGCCAATAACCCATCTTGGAGTGACACTGACGTAATCGTGTTTGTCAAGTCCTTATGAGTGTCGAACAAATTATTTAGTGATAATGTTTCAAGTTATGAAACTGAGCGATAGGAATTCGAATTTCACAAACAGCATCAGTTTCTCCAAGCTTGTTAATGGGTGCCAAATAACAGGAAACTTAGATTTACAGCTGTTATCAGAACCTAGCAGACAGACAGACAGAGAGATACAACGCAGAACTTCGTACCTAAGTACATCATCATTTCAGGTTGCCATACCACATTAGCACAGAGACGTAACTGTCAGTTCAAATCCAACAGAGATAGCGATAGTAGAGGTGTTAGCAGTAATGGAGAAGATTAGGGAGCGAAGATATGATTCGAGAAGTATAATTCAGTGAGAAAAATGTAGAAGGAGAAAGATAGAGATTATGAGGAATGCAGAGGCTTAGAATTTGATAGAACACAAAGAGTGGATGCACTTGCGCCATTGCGAACGATTTGGAGCCATGTCGTTCAAGTTCTCTAACCATTGGTGCCTTACGTCTCGCGGATCCCAACCAGGTAGCCTACATCTACCAACATGACTCAGTCCACTTGTCAGTGACCTCATGGATTTCTGCCATGTTTTGGTTTGGCCGCCCCTAGCTTTCTTCCAATCTACTCCTACACTACAAAACATAGCTCGTCACGGCAGTCGGTGGTTAGCCATAAGTAACACATGTCTCAACCACCTCAACTGATGAAGTTTCACTACTTTATGTATTGATTTGCCATCCCTACCTAGAACTCATAGAACCTAGCAAGAGACTTGATCAGTTCGGTTGATGGTTTACAAAATATTAAAACTAATCTAACGATAACTGGATAGAACAGTTTGACGAATTTGTAATATAATATCTTTTTAGAGCACAATATAATGCAACTGAACCATTACCTAAAACTCAGATTAGTTATTGCAGACATTCCTTTAGTAGACTAGATATGATTCTCCTCATATATTTACTGTGAACAATGATTAGCAGTTCTCATTAATTCAATCGATTGAGGGTTATAGTACCTAGCATGAGTATAAATAGCTACTTAACCGTTGTTTTTGATAACTGATTTCGTTTGTTCTTTAATTTGAATGTAAGACAACTGTTTCCTAATTACTTGATAATAGTTTTATGAAATGAACTTAAGTTATCGTACATGTATTTGAAATCACCTTACTTCACTAGGGATGTTATGCAATCAATAGACTGAGAATAATACATATTAGTTAGTTGAATTACACTGAAATGTTTACACATGTTGAATAACTACTAATTTGAATAAGTCGATAGTGACTTGTAGTGGTTAATACTGTTACGGGTCGATGTATTTTCATTGATTGGTATTGATTTATTGAATAAAATTGGGAGTCACTGCTGAATATCTCAGACAGCAGAATATGACATTCGCTTGCAAGCCTATAAGCACTAGTTATTTCTGAAGTGTTGCACAGCAAAGAATCTAATAGTTTACCAGTTAAAAAAAATTATCATCATTTTATTCTTCTTATTAAACGAAGATATCATCAAATTAGTGCAAAGTTAGCATGATTTGCAAGAATGGACAGTATAAGATGGAAAAATAGCTACATTCAAGAACAGAGCACTAAAATGATGAACAATGTATAGTTCACGATTTTAAATACTCGTGACCATTAGAGATTGTTAGTAGGACATAAATAAATCACCACTCGGCGTGAAAATATATAACTTACACTAAGTAGTACTTGACAGACATGGTTTTAGTAAACATAAAACTTATTTCGAAGATTTTTTTATTATTTTCAATTACTATACCTTGAATCTCGAAATGACCTTGGTTGAACCGCTTGTGAGGACTTGGGGGGGCTGGACTGCCGTTACATTCTAGTATAAGACTATTCATAAGTGAGTATCCATGACCTCACATTCGACAGTAGGACCCACAAACGTCCTCTTTGGATGCGAATGCCTAATGTCTATATCACTGAATTGGCGCCCCAAAGTATTAACTTTTAAATTAATTCATCCAATAACACTGAGCGACCTTGAAACATTGCCTAGAGTGAGTAGCTGTCTCGATTAACAAGGCATCCTCATATATATTCAAACAATAAGTTTGTTACATAAGGCCGTTTGGATACTTTAGAGTCCTTTAAAATGTTCACAGCAAACAATTTCAATTTGAAATAGTTCGGATTATCCCGTCAAAGATATTTCGACTGAGGTCTCATCAGTCTTAGTTGATATGTTAGATTACCATGAGCATTGTGTCATAATGTCTTCTGTTTGAGGCAATGCGTATAGGATACACTTCTGTCAAAAAGACTAACCAAATATGAGTCAAAATATAAACAATGGAATAATCTAAATTGAATCTCGTACTCGTTGAAAAACAGAGTGGCTAACTGGACTCAGCAGCTAACGTAAAGGCAATTGAAGTTAACGGTACTGAGTTCGAGTCCCAAGGAAAACATCAAATATGAGATGATAGTACATCAAACTGACGACTCCTGAATAGAGGGAATAGAGCGTCTTACATTCCAGTGCCAACAGTAGTCTGCATCACTTACTAACATGTTATCTATGACATATGTAGACGAATTTCCGTTGAATTTAACTTTTAGTCACAGAGATTTGTTTTGAGTAGTTTTGACTGGCAACTAAACCATAGTTCTTTAAAATGCTTTGTGGGTAAATCGTCACACAATTATTGAGTTGCAACACACAAACGCATACATGAATTTCACCGGATCACACTACTCAGAACAAAGTCGACCATATCTGCATCAACGAAAAGTTCACATGGACTATGGAAGAGAAGAGAACAAAGAGAGGAGTTGATATAACCTGAAAATAGATATCAAATTAATGAACAGTTTCATAGTGGAGTTTCAATCTCTCAAATGGATGG